GCCCCTGGGTGGCTCAGTTGGTTAAACATCCGACTTCGGCTCAGGTCATGATCTCAGAGTCCTTGGGTTCAAGCCCTGCGTTGGGCTCTGTGCTGACAGCTCAGAGCCTGGAGCCTGTTTTGGATTCTGTGTCTCCCTCTCTCTCTGCCCCTCTTCAGCTCACACACACACACTCTCTCTCTCTCTCTCAAAAATAAACTTTTTTAAAAAATTTAAAAAAAAGAAATGTGTAAAAGTCATCTATGATTATTTATGTCATTAATGATAATCATATAGTAGGGAGCTTTGGGCTGGTCATTGGTGGAGATCATGGCAGTGAGACTCAGGGCACTTGATTGACTTTACCCTTTCCAGAAAAGCCAGGTGGATTGCAGTCAGGGCAGCTTTTAATGTTTCTCTTCAAAAATTCTAGCTGGTGTGCAGCGCCTGGTTGGCTCATTTGGTTGAGCGTCTGACTTTGGCTCAGGTTGTGATCTTACAGTTCACAAGTTTGAGCCCCGCATCGGGCTGTGTGCTGACAGCTCAGAGCCTGGAGCCTGCTTCGGATTCTGTGTCTCCCTCTCTCTCTGCCCCTCCCTGACTCGTGCTCTGTCTCTTTCTCTCAAAAATAAATAAACATTTTTAAAAATTTTTTTAAAAATAATAAATCCAGTGGGGCTCCAAAGCATGGAATTAGGTCATTATTTCCAGCTCCCATCTCTATGAGCAGCTGACACAACACCCATCCTCAACTCCCGTGGCTGGCTTGTGTGCCAGCTGATTGTCATGGTTTTCCTTTGAGTTTTGGGTCTCTTTGTAGGTAAAACATAACACCCTATCATATCAGTGATCTAATGCATGGCTAGCAGCTACTAGGGGAGCATATAATTATTCCTATGGAAATAGTGAAAATAGATGAACAAATTCCATAAGTATAAATCTTATTTTTATTTAGCATATTGTGAGTATTGTGCTTTTTCTGGTTGTACTCTGGCTGAATTGTACACTGTTTCACTGAGACTGTTCTGAGTTTGTGCGTGTCTCCTATTTTCTCACAAAAGGACATCCATACTCTTGCCTCTGCATATGTTCCCAATAGTAGCAGATTCTTCTCTATTCATTGCATATTTAAAAAGTGTGCAAATAGTACGTGAGGACGAGGTGAGGCTGGTCATCTCTGCCCAAGGGTTGGCTCATTCATCCCAGGCACACAAATTTCTGGAGGAATAAAGACAAATTTTGGGGAGGCTTCCATTCCTGCCTCTAACTGTCTTTTCTTCCTCTTGTCTCAACAGGAACTGTTTACCCCTGAATGCAAGTTTAAAGAATCTGTTTTTGAAAACTATTATGTCATCTACTCATCTATGCTGTATAGACAACAGGAATCTGGTAGAGCCTGGTTTTTGGGATTGAATAAGGAAGGGCAAGTCATGAAAGGAAACAGAGTAAAGAAAACCAAACCAGCAGCTCATTTTCTACCCAAGCCATTGGAAGGTGAGTGTTCTGTGTACATTATCCTTCTCAGTTTACCACACATTTATTTTCCCCATTGCTAACTCTACTTGGCTGCAAGGAACTTCATGGAATGCTGGAGATTTTCTGTACCTGGATCTGGGTGGTAATCACACAGATATCTACTTTAGCCATGAATCTAAGGTTTGTACACTTTACTGTACATATGTGCGTGTATGATGTATATATATACACATACACATAGATCATAAACATAGATATAAATATCTATGGGGTTTATAAAAATATATGCATATAGGGGCGCCTGGGTGGCGCAGTCGGTTAAGCGTCCGACTTCAGCCAGGTCACGATCTCGCGGTCCATGAGTTCGAGCCCCGCGTCGGGCTCTGGGCTGATGGCTCAGAGCCTGGAGCCTGTTTCCGATTCTGTGTCTCCCTCTCTCTCTCTGCCCCTCCCCCATTCATGCTCTGTCTCTCTCTGTCCCAAAAATAAATAAACGTTGAAAAAAAAATTAAAAAAAAATATATGCATATATATGTACATATATACATACACAGTTAAGTTTTGAAAATTATGGAATACAAGTATTTGCCCATTTTGATGGTATTTAGCTGAAAGTAATCACATACTTGTGAATTATTGTAATTACAGAAAATGAAGGGTTAATCACTTGGCCTTGAGAGAGTGTTGATATCACAGATCTCCCTTCCAACTATGAAATTGTTTAGTAAACTTTGGTACCACCTTCTTATATATTCACTTGAAAACAATGAAGCCTTGGCATTTACTTTGATCAGATTCACAGAGAGCAGACCACGAAGTGTTGATAATTAATCAGAAGCATCTGTGCCTTTCTTATTAAGGATTCTGCCAAAAGTTCCATTTACCTTATCTACATAATTTTTGAGAACTACAAAAAAAAATTGACATGGAGGCATTTCAAAAGTGTTGTCTATTCAAATACTTTTGCTTACCTTTGACAAAAAAGAAGATCTACAGTAACTAAATAAACACTTTCATCTAACTTAGTTTGATTTTCCTTTTGTTTTTTTGTTCCCAGAAGAAAGGTTTAGCCATCAAGAGAAAATGTACACTGGTTTTTTATAATCCATATTCCTTATATAGGAATGAGATAATTTTGAATATTAAAGGTTAATTATTAATTATCTGTGAATGCATAATTCAGCTTTCAGTTCACCTAAGTTTGGAAAACCACTCTTACTGGTTAATACCATCTGTAAGATTTCATCAATAATGACTTACTGTCCCCTTAACTCAATTTGCCTACAGAACAAGCCATTGAAACCTAACTGGTTAGCCACCATGGCCCATCTAGGAAAGGAAGAATTATGCCAGAATCTGAAATATGAGTGAATTATTCTCATTATATGATAGATCATAAGGCAATTAGAGTAGAAATAAGAAATGAGAGAGTTTGGCTATTCTTCCAGAGTAACACCTCTATGATTTGGCCTTATGTTTGTTGATGAATTTTGAGACCATCAGACTCACCAATATTCAAATGCAAGTGAAAAATTAAAAAACTAAGTCTGTAGCCGTTCTAGAAAAATCTTGGTTTATTGGCCACCTCGCTTTGTCTCTTTATATTAACTTTCGTGTTGAATATGAACAGATGAGAATTAACCAAATTTCTAAAATCTTATCTTTTAGCTACATAAATGTAATGAAAATCAAAAGGGACTTTATGTCTCTTAACTGAAGCAAAATCTGGAGACCTGCTATTTTTGTATATCTAGCAGGAAATATCAGAGACTGAGATGAGGTGTAATAATATCACTTGGTATTTGAATCATACACTGAAGAGTTGAGTGTGTGTGTGTGTGTGTGTGTGTGCGCGCGCGTGTGTGTGTGTTGTGCATTTATGTATTTTTCAGGCAAAGAGGAACAGTATTTTCAAATAATTAGCAGACAGAGGTACTCTAAGAACAATTAAGGGGGTATTAATTATAATGACAGAGGTTATCACGTAGTGTAAGTTATAGAGGAGAATTAATTTCAAAACCCCTACAGGATGTAAATTATATGATTGGAAATGTTTATGGCAAATTAGGTACTTGATTAATTATTGATGCTCTGGGGCATTCCTATCTCTTACATAACTTCACCACATAGACAATCAAGGTTAATGCTCTGCCGTTATTGTCTCCTAATTGAATTAGTAGTGAGAGAGGAGAAATCAGACACTGCTTCAAGGATATGGATTAATCCCTTTTACTACCTTGCCAAGTCATTTCAGGCAGGTCTGAAATGTGTGTGCTGCTGAAAATCCACATGCTGCACTGATGCAAAAGAGGTTGTACCACCTTGAGCATGGAGAACGCATATGGTGGTCCATCCTGACCAAACATAGAGTCTCTTCATAAAATATCAGACCCTTTCCAAAGCCTAAAAAGCAGGTTAGACAGCTCTAATTCCTGAGTATTTCTGATGGCAGATGATTTTAACTCAGCTAATTTCCCCCAAGCATCAGTCCCCCTGAAATGTCCTTCTGCAGGATTCCCTAGAACTATTTTCCAAAAACCCACATGAACTGCTGTGATTAACTGAGCCACTGGACACTATTCAAGCAATTGCTCAGGACTTACTCGGGCATCCATCCCACATGCACTCTTGCCATTCTGTGCTTCTGCCTTATATGACATCAATTATTAGGTTTTTAATAACATATCAGAATGAGACATAAAAATACAAAATGCCCCACACATGCCTTCAGATTTTTAAGGGTCTCTTTCCATGATGGTGGGAGAGGAAATCTAAAGAATGATCTCCCACAGTCCCTGGCGTAAGGAAAGTGAGTTATTATTGCTTTGGATAGCTTTTGAAGTTGACGCAAGTGTGATTATGTTGCTTTTGAACCACTTGAGTGGAAAATAATGTGATGATCTAGAGGGTAAATACCAGGACTCGAAAAGATGAATGGGAGTGAGGGGTTTCAGTGTTGACATCAGGGTGCAGTGGAAGGGAAGTGTGAGTCTTCCTGACTGGACAAAGAGAACCAGGTTTGTGCCCCCCCTAAAGGAGATATGCAGATATGTTATCTAAGTGCTTGCCATTGGTGTGTGTGTGTGTGTGTACTTTATATCTGAGCCCCACAAAGAGGCCACTGCTCCTATTTAAACCCTCTCTCCTAGACAAAAACCCACACTCACTCAAGTGCACATATTAGTTACACAAGCTGGAGAATGTGGAGGAAGTACTGTCTTCCGTTCTGGGGCAGGAAATTACTGCTTTAACACAGTAATGCAATGAGGGGTTGCATTACTTCCGGTGTGTCAGGCCTGGCCACTCTTGAACCTAACCGCCCTAATGTCTCCTTTCCTCCTTTCTTCACGCCCCGCCGCCCATCCCCAGTTGCCATGTACCGAGAACCATCTTTGCACGACGTGGGAGAAACGGTCCCGAAGGCCGGGGTGACGCCAAGTAAAAGCACAAGTGCGTCGGCAATAATGAATGGAGGCAAACCAGTCAACAAAAGTAAGACAACATAGCCAGATCCTCACAGGTGTTGTGACTTATTCGTCCTGAGCACAGTTGAGTGATTTATCCTTGCCAGACATTCCTGCTCCCGCGGCTGAGGAGCGGCCGGAAGTAAGCCAATGCTTGCTCTTTGCTGTCTCGAACTTCTTGATTGCAAGTGGATAAATCTTCAACCTGTTGCACCCCCAGAACAAGAAGACACCTGGACAACCAGCTCAACTCAGACCATGGAATGCCCTACCAGATATGGAATGCCTTTTTAATATCTTTTCTGTGACTGTGACACTTCATGTGAATGACATACTTCACAAGTACACTCGATACCTTGCCTGCTGACAGCTACCCATAATCCTTTTTGAGTCCTGTTTCAGCGAAATCCATGTGTTTAAGTTCAATTTTGTAGCACACAAATACTATTGAGTAATTTCTAGTTAGACGCTGTAAACCTGTGCTATTATGGATTTCTCTTCCCCCCGTTTTTACAGGGCTGCCCGCTCCACTGTCCGTGACCTTTTGCGGGGATTGTATTCCTCTAAATCTTAAATGTTGCAGTTGGCTTAGTTCGGAGAGCGATCAGGGAATCAGGAAGCCTTCTCAACCTATTAGTACAAATTGCATCTATAAAGATTAAGAGTGTTGTCTCCGGCTCCCACTCTCAATTAAACACACATATATGCTCTGTCCAGTAGCAGATACTGTGCTCCTCTGGTCGGCGTGGCCGGGGTGAGAAATGGGTCAAACACAGTCCAGGGGAAGCTCTCTGAAGATATGTGTTTGACACCCCCCTATAGTTCCTTTGTGTGTGTGTGTGTTTTATACATATCACAAGCTTACTGGTTAATGGTAACATTTGCCTTGCCCAGCGAGCAAGACCCACTGGTTTTTGAGAAAGTGGGTCCAAAGAACTCTGTAGGCCTTGTAGGCCTGATTAAGGTTCATTTTTTCATCTACTAATCCTCATTATTTGGGAAAAAAAAAAAGAAAAAAAAAGAAAATTCAATAATTACAACCTACAAGAATTGCGCTACCTAAATCCATTTCAGATATAATCCTACCTGTTTTTAATGAACCGAACTGAATGCCATCCCCAGTTTTGGCTGCGTTCCACTCATACTCAGCAGAGCATGGGCAAGGCGGCTGTTGTGTTCTTTTTCTGCAGCAGCAATGCAAACGTTAGTTATAAATTAGACTTTAATATTTTTGGTGTTTAATGACAAGTTTTTAAAACTGGACATATTATTAGGAAAAAATATTTTTTTTAGCTCAGCATGCTGAGTCAGGTACTGTGTATTTCGCCACTCCAAACCTGTAACTCAGCTTCTTGGGGCCCCAGTTGCCCAGTGGCTGGGGTAGAGGTGCCTTGCCATGATCTCAGAATGCAGTCTGTTGAACTATTCTGGATAAAATTCAAGGCAAACCAACACGTTCACACATCAGGTTTTCGCTCCATTCAGTTGATTTGCATTTGTTTTATCTTGCTTTCTTAATTTCCTTTTGCATAATTCTGAGCTTAGGGAAGACAACTGCTAAGAAAGGCCATGAATATAGTTGACCGCACAAGGAAGAAACCAAGCAAAACGTTCGGTATTGGATATAAAGAGTTTCAAAATGTCTGATACGAAACTGTTTGGAAATATATTTGTTAGCTCTGTGTATACTTAATAAAATTCAATGTTTTCTCCTCCGAAGAGTTAACTGAGACCAAACTGAACCTCATTTATAGAAAACTCTATGTGGGATTATGTACTGGCCTCTTGTTATTATTTCCACGTGGAAGGCTGACCCAGTCGCCATTTCCCCCCATCTGCATTGTATTTTCTTGGAAATTATTTTGTCACTGCTTTCCTAAGTCTCCATGACAGCCCTTGCCCGGCATTTAAAAATTTTGGCCTGCTTAGCTGATTAAACATTTAGTATAAATTTAACTGTTTATGCTTACTTCATTTTCATATTGGATTTCATTTTAATAAATAAAAAGTTAGCATAACGTTTGGGTAGATTTATTGTCAATAATGCTAAAGTACGAACATAACAAAATCATTCCTTTGACCATTCTTGATTTCCTGTTACACCATCTTAAGGCCTATCGTTTTCAACAGGATGAGTTAAAATATGTTAGATGAGTTTCATGAACCAACTATTTAGGGAAGACATATATTCTATAATATGTGGCAAACTATGAATTAACTTGACATTCCAATTAGATGGGCTTATACACACCGCTCGCCCCAACTCACACACACACACACACACACACACACACACACACACACACCAAACAACCCCACCTATTTGTTTTTGGTAATCAGCCCTACTTGCTGGTTTTTTCCCACTGCAAGCCTGTTAATTGGTTAAAATTAAGACAAGATTTATTTTTGTAAATGACTGAGACTTATGTAAATGTGCATCTCTGTTTTGTTTTTTATATGAGTTGTCTCTAAGGGCATTTATCCCTATGAATGGATGTCAAATACTTTCTTCTAATATATGTTTAGACATATTGCAGACGGGTCCTTGTTATTTGTAAATTAGACCGTTTCCTCTGTGTCTGGTCTCACCTGTTGCATGGGACAAGGACAGCACTGGTGAACTGCATGTAGTAGGACCTACGTATCAAGAACTGTGGTATGTATTATTCAATTTACATACAAAGAGTTTGTCTGCATTGTACAGTTTCTGTGTTTAATACCATTTGTTGTATTCACACATACAACATACTGAATAAAATATTGATATGAAGGCATATTACAAAACATCAAACAACTTTATGTAACAAAATGGCATCGCTTCACCCACAAATATAGAGAAATATCATGTAAATAAGTTGGTACACTCAATTTCCCCCTTTACCATGCCAAAGAAAATTTTAGCTCTTTGATGATACCTCTCTTGCTATTTTTCTGGGATAAGACTCCACCAGTTTTCCCCTCAAAAATTAAGTTTGCTGTTATTAAGTAAGTGCAGTCTGTCATTATCAATGTTCTGTATAGTAAATCCGATGGAATTCATTTGTATCTACAGACTGTGTGTTTTGTACCTCCATGTACATATGTCAATTGCATCGAGTCTCTCTAATGTCACATTCCTTTTGCATGCATATCTGGTAGGGGAGGGTTATTTCTACTGATCTGTTATGGTAGCTGATGGCTTCACCCATCCCTCAGCAATGCTCGGGAATGTTAATTGTTTTGATATTCCAGGCGACACCGGTTTTATTTTAAGTTTGCTTTCTACAATGTTTTGCTACCACCTTACTTGGAAAAACTGCAGAAGCGATGCAGGTGGTGCACCCTATGTAAAGAGTAAAATGGTACCGAGCACCATGTCCTTACAAATCCTGCAGACATTAGAGATCCTTGCTCTAAATGTGTGCTCGCCCGGAGGGTTTTGGGGTAGGAGGTGGCGTTAGGAGCTCCACACGGGGCCTGCGAGACTCCTGCTGCAGTCCTTCTCATTATTTACCTCCTGGTGAATCCTTCTCGTTATTTACCTCCTGGAGAGTGAGCAGAGTAGTTTTAGCACACCTGCCCAGTTGCTCAATTAATGCCTAAAGCATTAAAAACAGTCAGATGTTTTCGAGATGACCAATGTTAGATTTGGTTTTCTTTTACAAACCAAACCAAAACAAACAACGAAAACTTCTTGTTCCTGAAGTTAGAACGTGCGTATTGCTTCACTTAAGGTTTTAGTCCTAATATTACAGAGAGAACTAATGCTTCAGGGAGAGACCAGATTGACTAAGAGTTCCGTTTTAGAAAGAAAGAAAATAATTGAAAACTATTTCCAATTTTATTTCAGAACAAGACTATTTCCAGGGAAAGCAATTGGCTAAATGCCGATATACCAACATCCAGATGAGAACTGTATCGCTTTGGAGAAAAATACAATTCCCAGCTTAAGTTTCTTAGCTTATAAGGGGATTACACAGGGCCCGTGGACCCTTGGATACTGAGTAGGGCTTCAAAGTTTTGACAGGGAGTCTGCAAACAAAGGCTGAGTTGTGATTTGTTTTGATTTGTTCTCAGTTTTCTGTATCATTCGGTCTAATCCCAATGTTTGCTGGCAGAGATTGTGTTTGTATTTGACGTGGTGGAGGCCATTCCTTTCAAGGTGCTGCAGGCATTTGGATTAGCTGAAAGGTGCAGGGAGAAAATGGGGTAAAATGTCCTCTTGGGTCTTAGGACCCAATTCGAATTATATTGAAAAGTCCTTGGGGAAGAATTCCTCGGTGATGGTTTGCCAACAAGCATGGCGCGTGCCAACAGCAGCAGCAAACGTGTCCTGTCACATCCCTTCCCAACTGACGTTAATCTCCCTGTCACAGGAACTCGAACAAGCCGAAGAGATTCGCACATTTCCCCTTTCACCTGTTACAAGTTGGTTCCTGCCCTGCCTTTGTTTGAAAGAGGGAGTTTTTATCTTAGTAACAGGATTGAAAGTCAAAATACAAAATCACATTGAAGAAGGGTAGGATTTACGTCTTTACATGTAACTATATTTTATTTTTTCCAATTTAAACATGTAAATTAAATAACTTCTTATCTATTGATGTTTGCATTGCTAGAGTCAAAATCACATACACACATATGAAATATAGCAGACAGAAAGAAGTAAAAAGAAAATATTTCTGTTTTAAAAGAAAAATATTCCTTAGAGATTAGGTACCATGTGACTTAGGCTATCACTCAGTTTTGGTTCAATAATTTGTAGCTAAATGAACCCAGAATATAGCTGACTGTATTTCCAGCCTTGTCAAAAAATTTGGACAAATCACATTTCAATCTTCATAGTATAATAATTTCTCCATATTGAAACCTTTTCTCAAAAAAAAAAAAAAAACCCATACATGCTGAGGACATTTTCCTTATATGAAAACATAAAAATTGAAGCCCTTTCATTTTAGTTAATACAAAGGGATAACAAACAGAGGGAGTTAGGAGAAAACTAAGACGCACCCAGGAATACAGGATAAGACAAAGGGAATGAATTAAGGGCATCTCCAGTAGAACATGGCTGGCAAACTAACTGCTCAGCTGGGAGCCACATCCAACATGCGGTCTGTTTTTGTATGGCCCAGGAGCTCAGAATGAGTGTTCTGTTTTTCCTTTTATAGTTCTAAAGTGTTAAAAACAAACAAACAGAGAAGAACACGCAACAGAGAGGTCAGTGGCCCACAGAATCTAAAGTCTTGACTAACTGGTCCTTTATGGAAAGCAGAGTTCTGCAGTGTGGGAAGCTGCATGATGTAGTGAATTCTGATGATTGCACATCGTCCGGTCATCAAAACTGCTACTGAATAATTACAATATGTTTGTTTGAGGCTAAAAATGATTAGATAGAGAGGAGGAAAGAATATCATCTATATGATTTCTGAACTGCTTATATTTCCCTCGTTTTACAAAACTGATATATCAACGGACATACTCAATAATAGAGATACAACTAATATGGTTGCACTTCCATCATCTCAGGATAGAGATAACAATTTTATAAATCTATTAAAGTATGAGAACACTATTAGTACTATCAAAGTCAGCATCAGATAAATTTTCTCTTAAATAACTTTCAATATTAAATTTTTAAGTAACTCGGCAAATGCATATTTTCCTTATTTTTTGGTGATTTGACTTAATAAAGTCCAAGCCATGACTCTAGGATATTTACATCATCAAGTAAAATTTCCAAGTAAAAATTTTCATCTTAAACAATGCGGAAATGATTTTGTTACATTACTCTAGGATTTTACAAAATATAATTCACATTTAGAAAAAAAAGTGGGTTTTTTTAGCTCCAAATAATTAAAGGTTGCCTAAACTAATGTGTGTAAGTAGATTTAACTGTAAATATGTAAGGGAAGTCCTAATTATTGTACATTTTCATAATTCAATGTGAATTTCATACAGAGCAAAATTTCACCATTAAGAAAATAAACATTTTGTTCCTATCGCTGAGTGAATATTTGTAATTTCTACTTAAGACATTTCTAGATTTTTTTTTTTTTTTTATCTTCTGAGCTTTGAGACTGGTGCCATTTGATCACAGTATCTCTTCTTGACTTCTTTGCATGATGCTTTTTCAGTAAATAATCTATGCTTAGAAATAAGAATATTTTAAGGGAAATGAATGCATATTTCAGGCCCATCCTATGTCCGATTAAATATTCTTTCTAAAAGGCAAGTTACCATGGCACAATTTACAATAGTGAGAAATCAAATTCCTTTTACACCTAACCCCTCCCTGCCCAGTTTACAAAATGATCTAGTAACAGAAGGTGCCCCTGAATGCCAATTCATTTTTTTGTTGTTGTTGTTAATCATCAGTAGGTAAATATATATTGACACAGATTGTAAGCAACTTAACGTCACTATTTATTAAAAATGTTAAATTGTACACTTTTCATACTTCCTTCATAAGGGAATCTTCTTTTGTGAATTTAAAGTGAGATCAGATGCATGACTTACTGGCTCAACCTGACCAGTCTTTTTCTTTAAAAAGCACTGGTGATCCAGCCTTTAGCCCCCCCGACACTAGCCCTTGTGCCCGTTTGTCTTTACTGACTCCAAATGGAAATGCTGAGTGATAAGGAATCTGAAAAAATATGATGGATGGATTTATGTGAGGATATATCTTTTCCTTAGATTCAAATGTGGTTTTTTTTGTGACCACTTTTTTTTGTGGCCTTTGTAACAACCATGTAATTCAGTGTTTCTCAACTCCGGCACTATTGACATTTGGAGTCAGAGAACTTTTTGTCATGGGGCTGTCCTGTGCCCTGTGGGATGTTCGTAGAAGCATCTGTGTCCTCCATGCACTAGAGGCCGGTAGCATGCCCTGCCAGCCCACCCAGTGTGACAATCGAAATTATCTGCAGACGTCACCAAATGTTTTCTGGGGTGGCAGAGTCACCCTTGTTGAGAACCACAGGTGTAAATTCTGGAGGAAAAATTCTTTCTGGCCTTATTTACATCAGATTTTTGCCTAACTTGTTTTTTAATGGGTGCCCAGCCTTCACTCAGGCATTCAGAAATAGAAAAACATGCAATAGTCTATTTGACCTGTCCTAGTGGTGATTATACATGGTTTCCTTTGCGTTTATGTGTCCTAATGGTCTACAAACATAAGAATGCAGTCCTGTCCCACGGGGTCGTTAAGGATAGTCTGTGCCGAGCCAGATCTCACACGCATTTCCATTCCATCCGCGCCAGCATTCACAATTTCCACAGCTACATATTCCATTCCCTGCAATAAAATACACGGGGCGGGGGGTCATCATCATGACTGAAAGGCACCAAGTTCCAGTGTGTTACTATAAACCATGCACCAAGTTCAAGTATGTTACTATAAACCATAACCATTCCTAACCAAAACAATTTCATTCATCCTCTGCAGATTTTACTGCATGGCCATGTTGCTATTAACTTATTAAACAGCTATGGGACCTCTGATCCTTCAAACGATTAACAGCACCTACTTGGTAGCACCAACTATGCAGTATCCATTCAGCAGTGACCATCTTGTATCACTCCAGCTGAACTGTCTCTACGTCCCCACTTCGCTTTTAACTTATCTAGCACACGTATCTAACCATCTATCAGGACTTGGTAATTGGGACAGCAGTATCTACCACACACACAGCACCGTGGGGTGGGGGGCCGTTTGTCTTTCTCACAAACCGGGAATGTGGAGCAAACCAAGCAGGTCACACTGCACCTGTGCAAATGAGGCCGTCGTGCTTGTCACAGTCCCTGTCGTCACAGTCACAGAGCTCTCCAGAAATGTACCACTCTTCAGCAGAGCAGATGCACTTCCCACAGTGGCAAGAACCTGAAATCACAAAGGGCATCATCACTAAGGGTTTCTGACTAGAATAGAACATCGGCAACACACGGACAACGGGCTTCTAATAACCCACCTTCCAAAGGTAAAAGTTTATCGAAGAGCCTGTTGCTCAGAGGGGAGCTTTACTTACCGTCATTCATAAAGGTCATCCGGGAAAGGCTTCATTATGGATCTATGGATCTAGACAGTTGCAATTAGCCTTGAGCAAATGTTCCATGGCCTGGGCTGGTTGAAATGTCAATAAGAGCAGAATGTGCTGATTCTTAGAGATGGCCTTCCGTAAAGGTGTTCAAAAATAGATGATTTTTTCCCTCTTTTCTTCTTTTTTTCCCCCCTTAATTGAATCATGTTTTAAAAGTGTCTGCTCTTCAAAGGAACTGAATGCTAAGGTCCATTAAATAAGGATGCATTTTATAATTAAAAGTACCACTAAATTATTGTGCTGTTCCTTTTGGATTTTTGCCTGCATGCTTTTCTTAGGGTGGCTCGTAAAAGTGCTGCACAGGGTGGCTCATAAAAGTGCTCAAAACGTACACACGCTCACTTGTGTTCATGTGACTTATCGGATCTCACCCTCGGGGCCTCCCGCCATGATCGAGGAGACATATGATCCTCCCAGAATGTTCATCTCCTCCGAGGCTCTGGGTCTAACCAACTTTCTCATTACTTCACCCATTTCCCCTTTGTCCTTCCTCCCTAATGAAAAACATACTCTTCTGTTATTAAAACTATTTTGACCTCCTGGAAAACAGTTTTATGAACGGTTATTTAAAAGAAAAGAATATACATGAATTAAATGATGTCACAAAGAGAAGAAAGCTCTCTTGGTCTGCACGTCTTTACACGACAGGCTAAAAAACCCTCACACGGCAAAATTACTTCCATAGCAGCAGTAAAGAACTTTAAAATTAAAACAGAAGCACATATAAAAAGGACCTCCCCTTTTCTTCTGTTTCCTTGGATTGGTTTTTCTTTCCCAGTGTGATTTCCTTTTACTAAATGAAGGGTATCACTAAATTTTTCAGATCAAAAATCAACTTAGGAAAATGTGAAGGAGAAGAAGTATTTTGACGTATTTAACAAAATTCCATATTGCTCAGTTCAAAATGTACTGGGACCAATCACGAATTAGTGCCTCCGTGAAACATTAGTGATTGCAAAATGAGTTAGCAAGCTGGAGGATAAAGCGGTTACAGAAAAGAATTTGCATTTGTCACAGATATCATCAAAGGATTTGTATAAACGTGTCCCAGGCCTTAGGCACTTTGTGATATTTCACGTGGAAACTGGCATATGCATTTAGCTACAAGAATCCCCAATGGCCAAATTAAATGTGTGACATTCCCTGTCACACTTCTCAAGGTAAGGGAGTAGTCAGAATTAGTGATACGCTGACAACTGTGTTTACACTGATTAACTTCTTGCCTAACCACAGCATGATTTCATTTAGTCTAGACTGTTTTCCTGAGGGTCTGGGTTGATCTATACAGTCTTCAGTACAATCCAGACACCTGTCACTTCTGATGAGTGACTGGCAGACTGCTGCCAGTCACTGAGCCTGCTGGTCCATCTGTGAGGGAGGGTGGCTCCTTCCTGGTCATGTCAAGGTACAGTGTTTCCTTACTTTAGAAATCTATTTATTTTCATTTTAAAGACGTTTTTTCAATTTTCTTAGGCACGGAAATGTTCAACATTCGACTGCTCATTTAGCACATGGTTAGCGATCTATCTGCAACAAAGAAAACTTGGGGTATGCCATTGACTTTTCATTGAAATTTCTTCAGAAAGGCACCATATTTAGTGCCTTACTTCCACGAGTAGAGGAAGCTCAATTATTTGAAGAATTTGACTGTTTTTAGTTGTTTCTAAAATAGTGCTTCCTTTACATTGCAAAATTATTTCTACAAACCAGCAGAAGCAAATGACTTTGTATGTCCATGATATTCATGTATCACACCTAGTATATCTTTTTTTTTTTTTTATGGTCACAATTCATGAGAAGATCTCACATTTCATTTTCAAACTTTTCCCTTGATTCTGGAACTCTTCTAATTACTGCTATAGCTGCTGAAATACTTAGCTTCCAGACATATCAAAGTATTTTCCTAACTGGAAAGCTCAGCTAAAGTCAATATAGTAGACATTGATAGATTGTTTGACAAATAAATTTCAGTTCCCAACGTCTACTAGTTACTGAAATACTTAGAATGAAAAATGGGCATTGATTTCTGTGTTCTCTGAAAACTAGCTTTTCTCAGTCAGCATCATCCCCAGCTGTGCTGTTCCTTCCCGTTTATCAATTCTCAGTGCAACTTAGAGGCTGGAAATTTCTTCTACGGCTGGTGAGACTAGGCATAACCTAGCATGTAATAATAAATACGCAGTGGGATAGTTATCAGGACCTCTTATAGCCTTTGCTGTGGAGTGCTCTGGCTGGTTTCACCAATAGCTAGAGGTCAAATTGCCTGTCTTTGCAAAGGGAAAAACTTAGGGAGAAGATTCTGTCAGACGGACATAAGCCACCTGACTGCCAAGAGGTGATCAAGTGTTGAGCTCAGCTGGCCAGCACCCACTCACACGCATGAGACCAGTCCAGCCACAGGGTGCAGCCGGCCCATTTTGGTAGGACTCTCAGGTAGTTACCTCAGGACCACAACATCACTAACCCATTTATTTTCCTTCTCCGTGTAAGGCCCCCAAGAAAGCTCCAATCTCCCTTCTGTGCTTCTTACTGGCTTCCATTCCTGGGTAACCAGCCACATTTTCTCATTTGTGTTCATAACATCCTTAGGACTTAAGAAGGAGAAGGAAATCAAATTCTTCTGCCTTCTTCAAAGATGAGAAAATGGAAGTACAGGAAGGAGAAAAGGATTTCTCATGACCACATGGCCCAGAAACAATAGTTATCCCAAGATTTCAATCTGATGCCGTCTTTTTTTGTACCCATCTACCTATCTATCCGTAATGCCTCTCACAGGAAAAACTTTCATGTCATTTCATGAAAACGAGTTGTGTGTTCTCGGCTCTGACGAGACAGCCACATTGGGTGAGGCAACAAGCCCAAGGTGGGTTTTGAAGCGCCACTGGTACCCTTTCCCTTTCCTGGTGGTGGAGGATGAGCAGGGGTGGGGTAGATGGTGGGACAGGTTGGTGGGCGTGAGCACCGTGGACTTCCAGGGCTGATGTGGGACTCAGCATGTACCCCTGGAGAGCTGGGGGAGACAGTCGATGATCTGCAATTACACTCATTGTCACACAACAGCATCTTTAAGGGTACTACAGGCGACAGCCTGTATCTAGCTTGAAGTTATGAACATAAAAAGGTTACTGTTTACTCCTGGATCCAAATAAATAAATCCCCAAAGAGCCTATGAATTATGTCACATATTCTGCAAAGGTGGCTAAACTCAGGGGAGACCTGGCTCTAAGCTCATCCCTCGGTCATTCACAGAAACAACTTGAGTCTAAGGGCAAGGCACCTTTGTTAGCTGCCCCATTAATAAAGTTGGATTTTCTTTTCCGTTCATCAAGCCTGACAAAATGCTGCAACCAGACATCCCCGCAGGCAGTTTTCACTATTGTACTAACTACTCCATCTGTTATGAAGGTCACAACAATGTATCTTATTTTAAATTTTTCTATGGAGTGATTTATTGTCTTGGCTATCAATTTGTAAAGAAATAAACGCTATTTCTTCATCGTCTCCGGGGGTGACAACTTTATTCACAGCTCACGGGAAGCGCACGTTCTGGACTTGTCTTTCTGGTGGACACACCCGGCTGGCTCTGGGCTGTGAGCTGGCAGCCTTGTGACCTTAGGCTTACCCCGTGCCTCTGTCCCATCATAAGCGGACAAAAAGAAGGGCTCCAATTTCCTCTGTGATAATCAGGGTGAGGGGGTTTCATTTACAAATTTGAGAAAAAGTACACACATTTCTGGTAAGTCCATGAGATTGAGAAATACATGGCCCTAGTCAAGTACCTTGGAACAGTCTTCTCATTTTCGCCACCATGTTAGAAGGCTGTTATGTTAGTCTATCTCCTACACTACTTCTCCTGTGGTTGTTGGGGTGGAGATGGGATGGCATCCTTCGTGGGGACAGGAAAAACTCCTGTAGCCCCACTCTCCTCTGTGCCTATGGTTTCATGATCTTGGTTTTGACCCCTCTTCCTCCATAACCCTTCCTCTATAATCTGATGGTTCCAGAACAGGAGGAGAGAAAGAAGCCCACAGTCAGCTGCTGCCTACAGTACGCACGTCCACCATCAACACTAACACCAGCCTCAAAAAGTACACCCTCCAGGCAGCTTGTACATTCCCCTTCGAGTTTAATGACTCTAAACCTCTCCACTCACTGAAGGATAAACAGTTTAGACAAATATACTTTCAACCCTTCATTGATCTCTGGATATATTTCCATCACCCAAAGCAAACAATTTGAAAAGGCATCAAGCACAGAGAGATTTCCTTGTATTGTTTTGTTGTGTTTTGTTTCAAGGAGATGCCTTTGGGTCAATATTTAGTCAACGTTTTTTGTTTGTTTGTTTGTTTGTTTTGCACTTTCTACATTTATGATATTGGAAAGTAAGACCCTGCTCAGAAAGTAATGGCTTTAAAAAGGATGTTCATTTCTTCAAAAGAAACTACTCCTCTTTGTATGAAATGCAGTTTAGGAATGACAGACTGCTACTGATGTTTGGCTTTGTGTTTTCTTCCTGTACCTGTAGCTGGATATGACTTAGCCAAGGCCTGCTCGTGGACAATGTTGATGATTCAATAGCGTATCTAGTAAAACACACACAGACACACACAGACACACACAAAGTCGCTGATTTTTGAAGTCAACAAATATAAACAAGCATACTAATGTTTTCTTTTTTAATTTTTTTAATGTTTATTTTTGCGAGAGAGAGCGTGTGCGGGGGAGGGGCAGAGAGACAGGGAGACACAGAATCTGAAGCAGGCTCCAGGCTCTGAGCTGTCAGCACACAGCCTGACGTGGGGCTCGAACTCACAAACCGTGAGATTATGACCTGAGCTGAAGTCAGACACTGAACTGACTGAGCCCCCCAGGTGCCCCAAGCATATGAATGTTTCAAAGCAGATGGGCATCCTCATTCTGTACAATTTCTATAAAAAATTAATATCTGTATTCCAATGATAATGCCATTATGGAAGACCAACTAAAAAATTCTAAGCTTTAGGGCTCTGTGTTTGGAGCTGTACTCAGAAAGAAGAAATTTAGGGGCGCCTGGATGGCTCAGTTGGTTAAGCATCCAATTTCGGCTCAGGTCCTGATCTCACTGTCTGTGAATTTGAGCCCCGTGTCCGGCTCTGTGCTGACAGCTCAGAGCTTGGAGCCTAGAGCTTGCTTCAGAGTCTCTGTCTTCTTCTCTCCCTGCCTCTCCCCCACTCACACTGTGTGTGTGTGTTTCTCTCTCTCAAAAAAAATGAATAAACATTAAAAAAAAAGAAAGAAGAAATCTAACTCAGGTTAATCATTCTCACTGCTTTGTTATATGCAGGACACTACCTTCTGATCTGGTAACATTTCTTTTCTTCCCTCCTGCTTCCAACCTCGAAGGCTAATTCCATCCCACCTCCTTTCCTGTTTTCTTTGTCAATCTCCTTCTCCACCATTCCTTCCCTCACTTTTGCTTTTCCCAACAGAGCTCGAACCTAAAGCAAGTGTTTCCAGGAGCTGAAAACCCCTCCTCCCCCGAGAGCCAAACTGGTGCTAGATTCCTCAGGGAGTTGGAATGAGAATGAATTTGTTAAGAGAATAACCAGGGAACAAAGAGGTTGCTTTAAACCCATTGGGTTGTCACCTGACGGCTGTCACTGCATTAGGTTGAAGGCATGGCCTCCTTGGCAGACCACGGCAAGCACAAGGTCTCAAACACAGCGTTCCTGGGAACCAAGGGCAAGCACGGCTGTCTATTAAAATTGAGCCTGTTCCAATTTTCAGCCTTCCTCCAGGAACCACATGTGGTCACAGCATTCCATCTGATTTTATCTCTGGAGTTATGCCAAAAAGCCTCTTTGCACCCGATAGCGTTGGCCTTTGGCGATGGGTAAAGGAACAGCCACTGTCCAGGGGCACAGCCCCACAGCACCTCCTGCTTCAGAAACCCCTACCTCTTATTCAGCCATTCTCTTTGCTTGACTCTGTCTCCTTCAGAAAGATATTTACGTGCTAATCCAGACTCAGGGTAGGCGTTTCATGTCCAGTAGCGCCTTGTCTGAAAAGGAGAGGGAGAGGGCTGTCTGTTCTGCGAGGAGGCCACTGCATTGAAGAAGCTGGTCCGCTCCATGCCATCTAGTTCCACGGAGGGCAGCTCCGGAACATTACTGAGAATCAGGCAAGCTTCCAGAGCCTTCCTGGTGTTTTTCTAGGCACTGGCAGGGAGGAACGTGACAGCCTCCTAGACGGGCCCATATGCACCATGAGAGGAGGATTTTTAAAGTCCTTTCCAGAATTTATACAGAAACATCAACATCAAGGTATCTGAAATGTAATTTATTCATATTCTGTCTCAGAAAAAAAATCTGTTCTGCTTTTCTCAGGCAGTGGGGTGGGTGGGGTGGGGGCAATGGGTGAGACTCTTCTTCTCGAATTTGTTTCTCTGATAAATGTTTGAGCTGGTGGCTCCTTTTCAATTGACTTGCAAATTACAACTTCCATGCAAGCTTAATTTGATATATACATATATATATACACACACACACATATATAAATATATATATACATACTATACATATATACATATATATACACATATGTGTATATACATATATACACGTATATATTATAATATATACTATACATATAAATATACTATACATATATATATATACTATACATATATATATATGTATACACACACACACACACACACACACATACATGTTTGGTTGGAATATTAATGATTTTTAGGCCAAAGAAAATGACACCAGAATTTGGGGATACATATACGCTTCTTTTCCTTTTTTTCATGAAACAAAATATTTATTTCTCTTTTTGTCTTTCTCCCACCCTCAAGTGTCCCCTCCTCCACACACCCATCTACCTAATCTAGCTTCTGAAGTTCCCAAAGTCGTGCTTGTTGGCAGTTCAGATACTTGTGATCCCTTTTCAGAGTTCTGGGCTGTGCTACTTCGCAGGTGAACTCAACAATTACCCTTTTGCCTTTTTTTCACTCCATTCATTGCTCATTGTATCTTGTTGCCTTTTCTTCTTTATGCAATTATTAGTTCTGTGTCACTCAGCAATGAGGATATATACAAGCGGCTGAGGCCCTTTTTGCAGGAAAACCTTCCCACGCGTTTCATTTTCTTAGATCCCAAACTTCCTGCGGTTACCTTTCAAGTCTGAAGTCTGGTACAAGCAAGAGTGGTTTTCATTCCTGCAAAACGCAGGCGTGTAAAAGGTTGTACGTGCCGCTGTACAGACCATGTGTCAGAACAGGGACCCAGTCCAAGCTCCGGCAGGAGATACTCACCCTTCCCCGAGCACAATATGCCATCTGCTGATTCACACAAACTCTTGCTTTGTTCCTCCGTCATGTTACACTTCCGCGGGTGCTGGCAGAGCGTCCCGAACCAGCCTCTGTCACACACGCAGCGACCACAGGAACACGTGCCGTGGCCTGCGAAGCAATCGTGGGGTGGGGGAGGGGCGGCGAGAGGGGGAGGTGGGTAAATATCCAGCTGAATCACAGTTTTTAAGAAATATGCAAACCATAGGACCTCATTTCCTGTCAAGCCAACGTGCTTTCCTTTATACAGACTCAATTTGGCATGTCATTGTTGAAAAGAACTCCACAATGGAGTTCCGGATTAACATACTACATTTGAATGCAGCATAGGAAATGGACCAAGAAAGAAAGAAACCTTGAGACAATTTAAAATGGAGTTTCATCAACCTTTCTTGGTACCAAATGCTTCCTCATTTGCATTTTTGTCAGTACGACGTCTCGGTGCGTTTCCTAATTGTACACACCAGGGATGTCCAGACCAGTTTGCAAGGCTGGTCACGTCACCATCGCTTGCTGCATTTATTGACTGCTCTCCTATTGTTTACTAATAAAAAACAAAAGGTTAACTTCCAGGGGAATGGCTTATGGCCATCATATTACTTTGTGTACCTCTCCCCTTACTAAGAAGAACAGATGTTAGTGTAAGTAGATTTATGGTACAGATGTTAAAAACAGCCTGAGGCTTTGACTCCTGTCTGGGAATTTTTTTCCACTTGTTTTTGTCATTGGCTCCCAGTTCTGGGGATGTTTGTCTTTGGCTGTGTATACAACACCGTATTTATGACAGTCATACACCGGCATAGAAGTCTGTCTAATGGCCGCCAACACCCCCATTACACTGTCACATCGTCCCCTTTTAATTTCTTATTTCCAACCAATGCTTTATTCTTTTACCTATATGCACAGCACCTTACAGCCAGATCTCCAAACAGAACCACCAAAAAACTATCTGTCTGGCAAAATTGTACTGATTATGAACAGAGCATTTTGCTAGGTACCAGGGCATACCAAATCAAGCATGGCAGTGATGACAGTTTGAACTGCTACACAGTTTAAGGTATACACTTGGCATTCATGGGCACTTTCTTCTTAAAAAGTCTCTCCTAGAGTGGTTTTCATGACATTGGACGCCCCTTCTCCTCCCAACACTTCTCTTTTGCCCATTTTCCCACATTTTTTCCCCTAATCCCATTGATGTGGGTGTTCCCTGATTGTCTATTTATTTTAATTTTATTAAATTAAATTAAATTAAATTTTTATTTTCATTTATTTACTTTTTGAGACACAGAGACAAAGTGAGTGGAGGAGGGCAGAGAAAGAGGGAGACAGTATCCCAAGCAGGCTCCACGCCACCTGTGTAGAGCCCGACATGGGGCTTGAACTGACGAATTGTGAGATCACGACTGGAGCCAAAACCAAGAGTCGGATGCTTAACCGAGCCACCCAGGCACCCCACTGTCTATTCTTAACCTTCTTTTCTCTCTCTCTGATCTCTCTTTTGAAAAAGTCATAAATCACAGGCTGTCAGATAACTGCGATAATTACTGGGCTATATCTCCAGCCTCTAAATTCCTCCTAAAGGCCACTCCCGTGATTCTTACTCTGTATTCCACTAGTATCCAAACTGACACTTCTAGACTTGCATATGGAATTTTCTTTCCCACACCTGCTCTTCTGTTTTGCCTATTTCTTTCAGTGGCACAACCCTGCTTCCAGTTACCCAGTTCGAAACGTTTTGAATCACATTTGAATCTCTCTTACTCCCCTCTTCTAAAGAGTTGCCAGAACCTGTTGAAACTACCTTCCAAAATGTCCACCATGTCACCATCATCAACCTTTGAGAGTACCTTCTATCAGGTCACTCTCCAACATTTGTGCTCCCCGCTCCCCACAGCACGACTCTACTCACATACAGCCTTGAGAACCAGCCCCATGCAGCTTCCTAATGCTTGTGGGATGAAGGTCACCTACTTTAGTCTTGCTTATGTTCGAGGTTCCTGAAACACACGCAACTTTTCCAACCTCACTCTCTCTCTCCTCTTCTCCCCTTTCATGCACTTCACCATTTGAACTGGTCTGCTCATTGTCCCTGTACATTTCCCGGGCTTTTCTGACTTCTTGCATTTGTCGAGATGGGAATCCATTCTTCCCACCTGACACAGCCTGCTCCTGATAAATTTCAAAGCTCAGGGAAGGTGACTACACCTTTGTGAAGATTTTTCTAATGTCACCAGGTAAAGTTCATCTTCTCCTCTGACTTTCTATACTACTTTATTTTTCGCTTCTATTGTGGAACAGTGTCTTCCACTTTGCGATACCCAGTTATGTATCAAATAAACTCATTACTTGACTGTGAATTCCTTGAGAATAGGAATCACTTCTGATTCATCACTGCAATCCTTCAGAGTCCAAGCACACTGCCTTAGACATAGTGGATCCTCAAAAAACAAACCAACCAACCAACCAACCAACAAAAAGACCTTCTAGACTGAAATAATTTGTTTTTTTTTTTTAATCTCCTTCCCATTCCCTCACCTCCACCCCCAAATCCCAACTTAGAACTATAAACTGAATCCAGGACATGATTATAGGCCACTGAAGGACAATGGACAGTTTTTGGATGGCTGTTCTACTTTTGTGTTCAGTAGGGTGGAGTGAAGTTAGAGAATTGGTGCCCCTTAGGGGCTACATACACAAAAAATAGTTACTAAATTGATTATATCTTGACTTCACCAATAAAACAAAAGTCCGCTTAAAGTGAGATCTATTTAAGATGTTCAAAAAAATTGTCCATCTTTGGAGGCAGATAACCTGGGATACAAAAAATTGAGAAAGAGCTTCTGTGGACCACGGACATCAAGCTATGGACTTTCCAAATGCTCTTGTTTCTTACTGTCCCTGGGCTAGTAGGAATTACCATCAATTGGACATAATTGGAATCATTTAATCCCTATTGCAGAGAAAGCCATTTTCCCTTTAACTTAGGATATCACTGAGAATAACTAAATGGCTCCTCACAGCAAGTAATTTGATGTAAAATTTATATTCAAGGAAATAGGAGATTGTTTTTCATTTATTAGCCCATTCATCACATCCTTCTGCAAAATTAAGTTGGCATCTAGCCCAGACAATGGTCAGAATGCATTGGTATTCAAATGTTTTGCTTTGCCATTTACATGGTTTCTCTTTACTTAAAAATTTTAAAAACCTTTCAATAAAAAAATTTTTAATAAGCTTTAATAACATAGGCATCCATTCAAGAAACTACTGGGTACCAGGCATCATACTAGCTCCACTCTCATGGTTCCTATAGTCCACAAGGGTAGAAAACAAGGACCAACAAACAAATGCATTGGAGCTATGGGACAACTAAAAAGGACACTACTGTATTCAATAGTGAGAACACTGTTAACTGGAGTAGTCAGAGAAGAGCTCTGTGACACCCAAGGGATGACACAAAGCCAGAGAGGAAAGCTAATGTTCTAGGAAAGCTAATGGAAAGTTCTTGGAATAAGAAAGAGCTTGGCATGTTATAGGCAGTGAAAAAAAGGTCAACGTGTTCAAAGAAAATTGAGTAAGAAAAAATGGAATAAATAGCAAAGCTGGAGAAATGTTCAGGAATGAGAGCATAGGAAATTATTTGTTCTTGGTAAAAAGTTTCAATTCTAAGAGGGATGAGAAATCATAGAAGGATGCTGTGCGAGAGAGTGATATGATATAACTCACGATCTGCAAATTCAATTTGACAGCTGTGTGGGAGAGATTAAGGTGTGTTGGGAGGCACGGAGTGTGGGGAAAGCGAGAGGATGTTGCAGTGGTCCAAGTGAAAGGTGACAGAGGTGGTGTCAGTACTAATGGAGAGAGGTAGACAGAGATTCACTTCGGTGGCAGGTGTCTATTGGATTGGACGTGGCAGGTGAGAAAAAAAGAACTAGTTTTCTAGCTAGAGAAATATTATAAACAATGATGCTATTTGTTAGAAATGGAAACTGCAGGACGGAGAGGTTGGGAGCAGAAAATCCGTTCTGTTTTGAATCTTGTGTGTCTGAGATACTCTGAAGACAACCATGTAGAGAGGTCAAGTAATCAGATGGCGCCAATCTGGTACTCAGAGGACAGGTTAGGGCTAAGCTTATACATTCTGGACCTGCCAAACGTAGATGGCACTTAAAGCTCTGAAAGTTCATGAACCCATCTAGGAAGAAATAAATCTTGGGAAACTCCCATATTTAGGGCTAGGGTAGAGGAGGTGAAGTCAGACAAGTAGGAACATCTAGGAAAGAAGGAGGAAAACGAGATGATTTTATAAACTGACAAAGGAAAGTATTCCATAAAGGAGGCCTACTGAGTGCAATGTTCCTGAAAACTGAGAGTTAAAAAAAAAAAGACCGTAATAGTAGTTTCAGTCAGATTTTGCCGGACCAACTGTACCACGCTGTTGCTTAGGCCTGTGAATGAAACACCTAGCGGTGGCAGATGTACTGGAGTATCGTGCATACCTTTCAGTAAGAACATGCCTGCCGGGTAGCAGAATCGATAGTGGTAAGGTATCTTCGTATAATAAATGTATTGTGGGTCATTCTAGAATGAACCTTAGAAAGATCCAGCCTAATAAACCATATGAAGTACACTAAATTGGCCTCCACTTGACTTCTCAAGTCTTCACATAGGTGAGTAATTTTCCATTGGACTTTCACTTTGAGAGCCATTCACCTCTCCCAGATGCTTACCTCCTTGCAGCTGGTATCCTCATCCTTGCTTCTTCTTCCTATTCTCTTCCCTTCTCTCACCAAGGATGCTCTAGACCTGTGTCGCCCAGTATAGTAGTCACTAGTCACACATGACTGAGTTTATTAAAGTAAAATTTAAAATTCAGTTTCACAGGTGCATAAGTCACATTTCAAGTGCTTGGTAGCCACATGTGGCCAGTGGCTCCTGTGTTGAATGACACAGATACAGAACATTCCCATTAGCTTTGAAAATTCTATCGGACAGTGCTGCTCTAGACAAAGACCGTTCTCAGTGAAATTCATTGGCTCTGAGATACATTTCCTTAAACCACGGCAAGGATGTTTCTCAATTAGGAAATGGACCCAGGAGTGGATCTCTTT